CAAGGGATTACAGGCTGCAGTCATACCTGTTTTCCTGAGATGAAGAAGCCAGGAGCCTATGCAGCATGAACATGGAACCAGCTGCAGCTAGTTGTGTTAAATCATTATACACTGAGTGTACAGCAAAGGTGGAAGGGAAGTTGATCATTAGAAGGACTGCAGATCTGAGGGGAGTTTCTGGAGGACAGGAGACACCAAGATGTCCTGTGGAAAAGGAGGTTTCCAGCCAGAAAGAGCTGGAGTCACAAGGACATATGGAAGACCTGACAGTCTGTGGTTTGGGATGCAGTTGGAATGTCTGTGCTGGCCATGAGAAGTATGGGCATGTTGGGTTTCACCCATCATCTTCAAGGATATAGCAGGTCCTGGACAAGGAGGCAGCAGGTGGATTTGCAGAGGGCTTCCTACAGCTGCAAAATTAGGGTTAGCCAGAGGTCTTGTGAAGGCTCTGAGCCCAGTGAGGCTGAGGCAGGATCAGGAGCCACATCTGCTCTCCTTGGGGGACAGGCAGCACAGCCAGTTACCATCTTCTTTATAGGAGAATTCAAAACCTGTGATGTCTCCAGGCTGTCCCTTTGCCAGCCCAAACCATTCCCTTTCTTCTGAGCTTCCCTGTAAGCCCCATTTTCCAGCTCTTCAGTTCTGCAGGTTTACAGGTCACTCCCTATGCTGGGTATGCTCAGGAGGTGTTCCCCTTCCACACGTCCTGGCTGTCTCCAGCACAAAGCTGAGGGCTGAGCAGTGATGCTGGAGGAGTCCCTTGTGGAAGGAGAGCCTGCCCTGCACACCACTCCAGTGTCCTGTGGGCTGTGGGGATGTGGTGTGTCACCATGGAGATGACACTTGCCATCCACCTTTCTAATGACTCGAAACAATTCACTGTACAATTAAAACAAGATCTCTCCCCTGATAACCCCGAGGAAATAGTTACTTACCAAATGGAGCTGGGGGGGCAGGAAGTGGAGTTCATTGTTGGGCTCCAGCTTGCTCTGCACTGCCCTGTCCTGCTTGGGTTTGTTTGCAGTGCCCTGTTCCCTGTCTGCTCCCTGTCTCAAAATCCAGAATGAGTTGTCCAGGCTCTGTGTTGCTCTGCTCCTGTCATCCAGTGTGGTTGGCCCAAGGACATTTGCTCAGAGTGCCCCACCAGTCCATTTTCCTATGGTACTCCACAACCAGATGTGGACCCACTCAGTGCCAGTATTTTACTGTCCCTCAATGCTTTTCCTCCCCAACCTATGAGCCACAATTCAAGTGTGAAGGAATCTCCCAGCTACGTGCTGCTCTCCCTCCTTGCTGGCAGGGCAAACTGTTTGAGCAGCCTTCAGGTAGGTCATCCAGCAACCCGAGTGCTAGCTGCACCTCTGCCAAAGCAGATTTTCTGTGTTAAACTGGGGGCTGGGACCACCCTGCAGCCTGAGGGATGCTCCTATTGCCCCGTGGCTGGCAGCAAAGTCAGGGGCTGTTGGGTTCAGGGGGGCTCACGTGGCTCTCGGCACGGGTGGCGTCTGAGCACCTCGCAGTTGTGTGCTGAACAACGTGACTGGTGTCTGTCACACAGGCTTTGTTCTCATCCTTCCCCAAAAGGAGAGGCAAGTGCAGAGAGGTCCTGCTTTTACTGCTCTCTCTCCCAGTTCAGACAGTGGGTAGCTTTGGCTGTGGCTCTCTGCAGAGGGAGGCAGTGTAAAGCAGTGTGCCCGGCCCTCTCGGGGGAGCGGGGAGGTTTGGGGGTGCCTTGAGGAGAGAAGAGCTCCTTCCATTGGGGGGGCAAGCAGGCAGAGAGGGCTGTCAGGCACTGCTTTGTGCTGGAGGGGCACAGCCCTTCCCACAGCTTCCTCTGCTGAGGGCCTTGCAAATAGCAACAATGGTGGTACAAAAGGAGTGGGAACCCCCCAGGGCTCCTCGTGTCCCTCTCAGGGTGCCCAGGCTGACGTGTGGCCAGGTGGGGCCACCCCAGTGCCTTCCACCGAGCAGGGGAGGGCCCGTGGGCTCCCCTTCTGTGAGGGGGTGCTGAGCAGGTGTGGGGCTCCCCCATCCTCCCGTTCCTTCCCTCTCTGCTCGGAGCTCCCAGCCCCACCAGTTCTCCATTTCTGCAGCTCAGCTCTTGCTGTCTCCCTGCAGCTGCTCGGGGCAGGTGCTCAGCTCCCTGCTGCAGGCTGTGGCAGAGCATGGAGGGCCACCCTTTATCCTCACTGTGAGCTGGGGGAGCTGCTCCTTCCTGCCCTGAAGGGCTCTGGGGAGGGCAGGCTGCAAGAAGAGCTGGCACCACTGGCGTGGAGACCACCTCTCTTTGGGAATGTGGGGCTGGATTTGGACGTGGACACAGCCCAGCTCCTCCACGGGGCCTCAAA